GTGTTGAATGTTAAATCATGGTTGTGCCATATTTTTGTTTCAATGATCAACACATTTTGCCATCCATTTCTATCTGACATACTGTGTAACCGAACTCTACCCTTAAAAAAATTCGGGTGAAGACCATTCCTTAATAGTTAATGATCAATGGAAGAGGTGGTAAAATTTAGGATAAGCATTATTTAAAATATAGAAAGTTACTAATATTCAAACCACCATAACTTTTTAAGTAATAAATATTTTACATCAAACTTTTCATAGAATTATTCTTTGAAATTTACTATATAAAACTATGAAGAGTTTGAGTCCAAAAGTGCTCTGTGTGTCCATGTGATGGGCTTCAAAAATGCTGAATAAAATTAGTCAGTTTTAGATGACTTGAGCTATATAATCCAGGTAATGATAATGCTAGGACCATGCAGAAACAAAATTTTTTAAGGAACAATTTTGAGAAAGCCACACAATGTCCTCAAAAGCAGGATTGGAAAACAAATTCATGTTATCTTTCTTCCATATAGGACAATTGTAGAGATACTTAAAAGTTATTTCCAAAAAGAAAATAAAATGAATAATCTGACTGATATCGACTATAGAGGCAGATTTAATAAGATTCCCCCTCAAATATGTGGTTCAATGCACCCTTGTCTCCAAGCAATTTATTTTATTGGTGCGCCTTATTAGTGTAACATTTATTGAATTAAACTGGTTTATTTAGGACCTCGGACAATCATATTTGAACTGGTATGGTGCATGTCATCTATACTCATCAAAAATGTAGATCATTCCGAAATTTCAGATAGCTATCAATGAATTTTTATTGGTTAATTTTTTTAAAAGCAATTTATTATTATTCTATATTAATTCCATTTAATTCTTCAATTACACCATCTGGTATTCTCGTATGAGATCTATATTTTTTGACACATACTCTGCTAATTTACCACTGATTTCTTTTCTATATAAGTCCATATAACGCCAACACTTTCTTGAAAATTTCCTAATTGTAATTAAAGATACTGATTCAAGACTTTCAGGTACTGTTTTTTTTAAACCCTCCCATGAATAATCACAATTTTCTCTCAGATATCATTTAGCAGCACCCCAATATCTTTCAATAAAGTTTAGCTCACAGTGAAATTTTGGAAAAAAGATGCATTTATGTCCAGCATTCTCAATCAGCTCTTCAATTGCTCCTTTTTGTGCTAAAAAATCTGGTTCCAATGATAATACACAACGTGCACAACAAGATTTTCTTGAATCATCTTTAATATTTTCTTTACATTCTTTGCATTCTAATATTAATCCTTGAGATGACCATTTTCCTCTTTCTATTAACACTTGTTTTATGCCCTTAGGTTTGTTTCTAAGTTTCTCATCAGGATGTGTAGATGGAAAAACCATTGATTGTGGCTGTTTATCTTCTCCAAAGTAAGTATCACGCATAACAGGTTGCTTGCCACCTGGTTTTAGATTCATTCGTTTTGCAACCAAAGCATCATTTCTGAATGCAGCATGGTTAGAACTATTATCAAAAGCAAATACAGCTATGCAATCTGGATATAATGCCTCAAAAATAGGGATTGCTTTATATTCGATTTGCTCAAGAAGATGTTCTGCTGTCCAATAACCATCTTGATTTATGCCAGGCTTTAAATAACATTGTGCTTCTTCAGGTACATATGGATGTTTCTCTATGTCAGCTTGTTGCAAACGAAGGCATCCATTAACTTCTGTTAAAAATTCACTAACCATAATTGATCTGCCATTTCCCTTTTTTCTCAGTGGCATCTCACCATTCTTGGTCCACACTCCACGTTTACCATCATTAGAATAGAAAATACTCTCATCATGAACTACAAGAATTCTTTCTTTTTCTCCTTCAGGTAAGTTAGGGATTATTCTATCCATTGTTTCACCTTCATATTTGGACATATACTTCTCATGGTCAAACATTTTTTCTAAGAACACTTTCCTATATTGCAGAACATCTTCCCTTTCATGTCCATCATAATACGTTCCTTGATGATGTAGTTTAAAAGTGTAACCAAGAATGTTTAACCATCTTTTTGCAGTACTTAAAGAAATATCTTTTTTTTTTGCAATTCCAATGTTGGGCAACAAATTTTGTTCAATAAATGTTTTAAAAGAAGATGGTGTTGCATGGTAATTTTTTTCACGAATCCAAACTTGACATTTTTCTGCAACATCTTCATCATCAATTAATCTAACAGTTTTTTGATGTTTACCATGTCTAGACATTGGAAGTTTATTGTTAAGCAACCAATAATTTGCAGCATATCTAATCTTTTGTGCTTTCCATGGACCAGCACCTATAAAAACTTTTTTAGCTACCTGCAAACTAGCATCAATTCTTCCACATCCTTTATCATCCAATAATACAAGATATTCATAAATGGCTCTCTTTTGATTATATTCAATTACATTCATTTCTTTATGCTTTTTCTCTAATTGATCTTTCAACTCTGTTATTTTTTCTTTAATTAAATAATTGTTAAGATTAATTTTTTCCTCTTCTGAATCACTTAAAGCTTCTTCTGTTGTGTTATACCTGAACTGCTCTGGATCCTTAGTTTGAACTTTAAAAAGACTTGTAATTTTTTCATTTCCAGCAGCTGCTTTGGTAAACAAGCCACTTGGTCCATATTTATCATAATAAGTGGATTTTGGTGTCTTACCTCTCATGTATGGTCCTCTTTTAGTTTTCTCCAGCTGAACATTTTCCTTCCACTCCAATTTTAATTCTTTGAGCTTTTGATTTATTTTAATTTCCTCCTCCATATCATCTACATCATCCCAACCACTTTCACTACCAGCATCCAATTCACTGTCACCAGCGTCAATGTTTTTTAATTCATCACTATCATAATTTACTACACCATGCTCAATTGTACCAAAAATTTCATGATTGTAATCATCCATAATGATGTTATCATCTTGGCATGCCTTTTTTGATTCATACTTACCTTCTGCATTTCTTACTTGATTTTTACTTTTTCTTTTTCCTTTTGAAGATAAAGGCATTTTATCTTGTTTGGTTGATTGAACTTTTATAACAATTAATAATGATTTAATTAATATTGATGTAAATATCTTAATATTCAATTCAAAAGTTATGTGTAAAATATCTTAATATTCAATTCAAAAGTTATGCATAAAATATTTTAATATTCAATTTCAAAAGTTACGTGTTATTTCTCGTGTGACATAAATTGATTGTTATTAGGAGGAATTTTATTGGACAGAATTTGAATGATCAGCGTCCGAAATTTGAAATATACTAGTAAACTTGTGTGTTTTTAAACCTTAATAACTTTGTACATAATTGAGAAATCAAAAAAGTAAACCGTAATTTTGAAAGAGGAAATTCTAATCTATCATTTTTACAGTTTCTTTTTTTTGTAGCATAAAAATTGAGGGACTAGATACATTTTAAAGTCACCCATAAATTCTTGATGACTTTAGGTGACACACACCATACAGCAGTAGACATGTCGATCCCGTGAAATTACAGATGACTGATAATATGCGTACAAATCATGTATTTTTTTATGTATGCAAATTGTACATATATTATATGCTTAATCCCTGCAATTGCGTATTATATACGCATAATATTTGTACCCATTTTCCTGATGTAGTAGACCTGATATAAATAAGTTTCATATTAACTATTTTTATATAGAGGTAATTCTACATATACTTAATATCAAGAAGATAAAAAATGGGTGATTTTAATAATCACATTGCTAAATTTTGATCCCTAAAATACTTGGTAATACCTTGTCTGGTTTTGTTGCAGCATGCCCCATATATATAGGACTTGTAGTTTGAAGTTAAAATCAAAATAAAATAAAATAAAATTTTAACAATCAAATCAAATTTTAATTGCCAAAATGAATGCAAATAATGGTCCATGCAAAGTTAGAGGTTGTGATAAAAATGATCCTGATAAATATAAATTTAAGAAATTTACTGAATATGCTAAAAGAAAGGCTTATGTAATTGCACGAAGATTAAAAAACTAACCACCATTCTTTTCGCCGGGGACTGTAAATTGCTTTTTTGACTCAAATCTTCTTGCAGAAGGTTCAATTAAGTGACCAAAATGTTCATTATGAAATGTAGATTATTTTTTATGGGATCAGTTACAGTTTGATTCTACTTTTTTTTTATTAGTACTGACTGTCACAATTACAAATAAGAGTTTGTTTTCGTATGTCATTTCTCAAATTTTTGCTTAAATCCTTGTTGTTGCGCTCATTGTTTAATATACCTGATACTAACTTTCCTAGTTGGGAAATGCATACTATCATCCAGTTTTGTAATCATTCTGATTCTTCTCGGTAACATTGCTATCTTCAGAAATGTTCTCTAAAATGTGATGGTTGATATAAATTCGCTTTCACTTCTTTCAGAATCACTTGAAAAGTCAATTTATTCATGATTAATACAAAGTTTTTAAGGACTAAAATTTATTAAAAAAGGGGTTTTTTTTGTGATATTAAAAATCTTGAACAAAATCTAATTTCCCATATTATTAAACCTTGTGCCTAATCAACTGTTATCAATTATTTTTAAATATGACAATAATTTACTTCAATAGGCAGTAAATCTAGCCCATAATGTGAATGTGGCTTTATTTCATCTATTGGAACAAGATTTTACATTTAAAGTGGGACGTTTTGTCGTTTTAAATTTCTATAAAAATAATTAGAACCCGATTCAAGATTCTAGCTATTAATTAATTTTCTTTATGACTATTCACATTTGACTATTTAAAATGCATGTCGTTTATCACGAATTACGAATTTTTTTTAAAAAAATAATAATAAAAGAATCGGCTAACTCTTTTTTTAGCCAATTTTTTTTACTTTTGATCAAAATTCATTTATTCACAAAAATTTAAAGTCAAGATTCTTTCAATCATCATTAGACAATTCTCTGCAAATGGAAAACAAGGGGATTTTTTTAAACTTTAGACTGTTTATAGAATATCAAACAATTTTTTCCTCCTTATTTAACATAAAAAATGGGGTTATCATTGATATTCTCAAATGCAATGCTATTGTCCTTATTCACTCTAACCATTACGTTGTCATTATTTCATTTTTTATTAGATCATATCATCAAATCATTCCTACAAACTCATTTATTATATGTACAATGTATGTGAGTACACACTATTATTATGAAAAGAATAATGAATAAAATGAAATAATTATGAAAGAAGACACTTCCTTCCTGAATACACCAATCTTTAATACTAACCGAGATGAGTTATGGAGATTTGATTGTTTTTTTAAAAAAAATTTTTTTTTTGATAATAAAGTTGGTAAATTATTGATGTGAAATGATAATGTTGTTGCGACGCCTATCATTGTTTTTTTGTAATAATTATTATTATTAAAATTTGTTATAATGTTTCAATCTTGATTTCATCCTTCCCTAAAAATTCAGTTTATAAAAATTTGTTGACAGGCTTTTACAATTTGCCTTTTGTCATTTGGCATTTGCATTCAACAAAATTCCAATTTACAATCAGCTATATAGGATATTTCAGATTGCTAGAGACTTTCTTTTTTTTTTTAAAAAAAAAAAAAGCAGAAGTTTGGATTTTCCAAATATTTATATCGGGTAAAAAGTTTTCTATTCCGAATTTATAATTTTTTTTCACACCTTTATTAATAATCGTTAATAAATAATGACAAGTTCATATTTTTAGCTTCTTAGTGGCTTAAATCTAGTTGCGGCTATGACTAGAAATTGGAGGCAATTTATTTTTGTAAGAATCATCATCAGGCGAGGATTGTCAATTTAGCAATCATTGTTTGTTTGGTTTAATGGTGTAATATTTTAATATAATTTAAAAATAAAGTACAAAAAAATTATTTTTATGTTTTTTAATCTATAAAGAGAAGCCTTGCATCTCATTTTTTCATTATGCAAACAGGGTTCGGTTTTTTCACCGATTATAAAATCCTTATATTAGAGATTATTATTGAGTAAAAAGACTCAAAAAAAAAAAAAAAAAAAACAGCTTGTAGCTCGATTTTTCTAGTAACAGATCCCAAATAATAAATTGCAAGAATTATTCTTTTTTACAAGCTATAGCCTGTAAATATATATATAATCATCTTTTCTTTCCAGATATTCTAGATGATTAAAAAAAAATTTTTAGTATTAGTAAACATGGAATAAAAAAATACTAAGAAGAAGAGAGGAATGAGTGTTTACCTAAAATTTTTTATATAAGGTTTATACTTAATATTTTCTACAGCACATTGTTCAATCATTTCATTATACTCTTCTAAACTAACTCCGATAAATGATGAGATATAAGGTCCAGCAGTTTCTAGTGACCCAACTATAGTTGTTCTTAACTACACAATTAAATGATGTAATATAATAATGATCATTTTATTGCCATCATAAAAGATTTATTATTTATTAGCATCACCACCATAAAATAACATATTTACCACTTCACCAGTCATACCATCACCACCTAATGGAAAATTCCTTGCTTGATTACTAATTTCAACCATTTTATCAGAATTCATTAATTTTTGTTCAATAGATTCACGGATTGATCCATCTATATTACACGATTTGTATAATTTCATGACTATAATTTAATTGATAATTTGTTAGAGCTTATTAAGAAATAGTATTAAACAGTTTATTAAATGGTTATTTACATCCAGCCATATATCTTTTCCCCACTGGACCCAAGCCATATGGCATGACTTCATTTTCCTAATAATAATAATGAATAACAAAGTTAATAATATAAACATATTTCTTTATCACATCATTATTATGTTTATTAATAATTACCACAAATTCAATCCAACCACCAGGTTTAGTTATACGTATCAGTTCATCTATTACAAAAGACCATTGATCAATTTTTAATGACTGTGTCATATGTTTTTGATGAACAAAATCAAAAGTGTCATCTGGAAATGGTAAACCATCAAGTATGTTATGTCTAATTACTGCTAAATTTTCTGGTAATTCTTTTTTAGAATCATTCAAATCAATCACTATATCAATTCCAACAAATGATGACTTTGGAAATTCTTCTGCCATAAATATTAACCAAGTTGCAGGTCCACATCTGAGAAAACAATTATAATTAATTCATGATTATTAGATTGTCATAGGAGAAGTTTGATGAATCAATCAACTTACCCAATGTCTATTACAGATGCACCACCATTCTTTAATGTTTCTTTCACAGGAGAAGAAAATTTACCATTCCATATATGCTGTGATAAAACTTCTACAGTTTCCATTATAGACATTGACTATAAAATAATAGAAAGTTTTAGAAAGTTGTAGGAAATTAATAATTAATTAACTTATAATTTACCTTATCATCAACAGGCAAGAATTCACAAGATTCTTCGATATTATTAAATTTTCTACCATCAATAATTTTAAAATTCTCAATTGTGAAATCATCAAAATCGTCATCATTTTCTTCTTTGTTATTGTAAAATAATATTTTTTTTTCCTTCTTATTACAATAATTTTCTAATGGATGCGAATTTTTACGATTTATTGATGGTCTACCAACAAGATGATGATGCAATGACATTATTTTGAATTTTAAATTTTTTAATTATATAAATAAAATAAAAATGATTTTTTTTTAAAGATCCACGATAAAATTTTTATCGAAAAATTATGCCTTATTACTTTATATAATAATAATAAATAATTATTCAATTAACATTCTAAACAATTACACAAGAGCAAAAGAGATCATTTTAATATTTTAATATCAATAAACTCATTCAAGTATTTAGACCGATCTCCAAATGGGGAAATAAAAAAATAATTTTTCTTCAGAAAGAACTAATTTTTTTATTGGTAAGCTAAATAAATATATTTAATATATATAACTAGTTTATAATTAATGTATAAATTTATAATGCTTATTCTATTTTTTCTGTATCATCATCAACAACGATCGACAACATCATAGTATTATTTTTTTTTCATCGTCTATCGAGATAATAATAATGAATATTATATTCATATGCAAGAACGCTATCAATTAGACTTTCATCCATTAAAAGAAAAGACAAGTCTAATTCATTACCAAGACTAAGTTTTTTTGTCCGTCGAATTACTTCGTTAATATTAAGGTTGAAGAAATCATATATTCCAACACTATTTTGTTAAACTGACGTCGAGAATTTAAATCTAACAATCAATAAAAGAAACACTGAACAAGTTCTACTTATTACGCTCGGTGCGTAAAATCAATCGGTGAACGTGCACGTTCTAACCAAATATGTAAATTGTACACTGATTTTTTGTTAATTCAATGGCTTCTTTTTAACAAGATTATCATCATATTTATTTATTTGTTATGTAATCAGTTCCCGTAATTGCATAATATCATTCAATTTTTTTTTGACTGATTACGAATAATTTTATAATATGCCGATCATTACTTATTACCAAGAACTTTAAATGTTAAAATGAATTCATTAGTTTGCATGAAAATGAAAACTTTTACTGTGATTGCAAAAAGAAACTTACAAAAAACTACATATAATATCTATATCAGGAAAAAAATTAAAATATACGGCATCAATAAATTATATTTACCTGTATGCAATTCTTTTGTCTAATGAAAGAACATTAAAATTACTTGTTAAATTGATATAATGATAATGTTTGCTCATTTAACACACTCGCTATTGGTTAATGACACGCCACTGTGACGAAGCATAATAATATTCATACCTTCTTTTTAAATGAAATATTGTATGAGTCATTATAATTGTACTTTCTAGTGTTCCTTTTTTTTGGCGGTTGAGTTATTGTAACAAAATAAATAGAAAAAAAACAAATGTAATTTATTCGAATTTTTGAAAACATACGTTTCTCATCTAATTTCCGGATTACTTTGGTATTACACCTAAGCTCCTTATTGATATGCATTCCAAATGATTTTTGGGCAGGAAACATTTTAAAGATAGATGATCGGGTAATGATTTTTATTTGTTGCTAGATCTTAATTATTATAGCAATTCAAGGAAAGCTTGCAGAGGTAAGGAATGATTTAGGTTATGCTTGGCTATGAATAAATAATCAAGCACCTTGATTGAGTAACATTGATCATAATTACACACAGACCATCTTGGAGAGTATATACATTTATAGAATATGATCAATAATTGGACTACTCAGATGACAATTTATTCTTGTAGAAAAATGCATTATCAGATGATGATTAGTAATTAAAACAAAAAAAAAAAAATAATAAATTGTAAATTTATTTTTCTGTAAGTTATAATCTAAGTAAATATGTATATATCATCCTTTTTTCCCACACATTCTAGATGATTAAATATATTTTTAGTATTGGTAAACGTGGAATAAAAAAATAGCAAAAAGAGGGAATGATTATTTACCTAAAATTTTTTATATAAGGTTTATACTTAAGGTTTTCTACAGCACATTGTTCAATTATATCATTATATTCTTCTAAACTAACTCCAATAAATGTTGAGATATATGGTCCTGCATTTTCTAGTGACCCAACTATAGTTGTTCTCACCTAAATAATTAAATGATGCAATGTAATAATGTTTATTTATAAAATATTTATTAGCATCAACACCATAAAATAACATATTTACCATTTCGCCAGCCATACCATCACCACCTAATGGAAAATTCCTTGCTTGATCAGTAATTTCGATTATTTCATCAGCATTTATTAATTTTTGTTCAATAGATTCACGGATTATTCCATCTATATTACATGATTCATAGAATTTCATGACTATAATTTAATTGATAATTTGTTAGAACTTATTAAGAAATAGTATTAAACAGTTTATTAAATGGTTATTTACATCCAACCATATATCTTTTCCCCACTGGACCCAAGCCATATGGCATGACTTCATTTTCCTAATAATAATAATGAATAACAAATTTAATAATATAAACATATTTCTTTATCACATCATTATTATGTTTATTAATAATTACCACAAATTCAATCCAACCACCAGGTTTAGTTATACGTATCAGTTCATCAATTACAAAAGACCATTGATCAATTGTTAGTGACTGTGTCATATGTTTTTGATGAACAAAATCAAAAGTGTCATCTGGAAATGGTAAACCATCAAGTATATCATGCCTAATTAATGCTAAATTCCCTGGTAATTCTTTCTTAGAATCATTCAAATCAATCACTATATCAATCCCAACAAATGTTGATTTTGGAAATTCTTCTGCCATAAACGTTAACCAAGTTGCAGGTCCACATCTGAGAAAACAATTATAATTAATTCATGATTATTAGATTGATGATTCAATTAAAATCAATCAATTTACCCAATGTCTATTACAGTTGCACCACCATTCTTTAATCTTTCTTTCACAGGAGAAGAAAATTTACCATTCCATAAATATTGTGATAAAATTTCTGCAGTTTCCATTATAGACATTGACTATAAAATAATAGAAAGTTTTAGAAAGTTGTAGGAAATTAATAATTAAGTAACTTATAATTTACCTTATCATCAACAGGAAATAATTCATAAAATTCCTCAATGTGATCAAATTTTTTATCATCACTGATTTTATAATTCTCAAAATTATCAAAACCATCATCCTCTTCTTCTTTGTTATTGTAAAAAATTTTTTTCCCCTTCTTATTATAAAATGGATGCGAAATTTTACGATTTATTGATGGTCTACCAACAAAATGACGATGCAATGACATTGTTTTTAATTTTGGATTTTAAAATTTTTAATTAAATAAAATAAATAAAATAAAAATGTTTTTTTTTTTTTAAGATTGGATTTTAAAAATTTTAGTTTTTATATTAAGACTGAAACGTCCAATGTCCCGAAATTCGATTTTCGCGTACAAACTGTGCTAATCAAATTTGGGGATTTATATGCAGATTTTTGCAAATCAACTTTTATATAAAAATTTTTGTAGTGTGATCTCTATTTTTCTAGTCTCGGTGACTGGTCTTTTTAGGAACAAAAACCGGTTAAAGACTGGTTAAATAGTATTTTGAATGTGGATTGCATATTAATGTATGAAAATAATAAATAAACTTTGGAAAATAAATTGCACGCATGGTTTCGTTTGACTTATTATATCTATTAAGCATCATTTTACTATTGGATTTTATTTGAATCCATACAAAATCGTTTTAACTGTTTGTGGTTTCAATCTGTGGGATGAAATTGTTGGACCTGCAATTGGAAATTAATTATTTTTTTATTATAATCTTTGTTTATTTAAAAAAATTGCCTACAATGATGAATAGATGATAAATTCAAGTATTTGAAAAAGAGCTTTGGACCTTTATATTATTATTATTATGTAATGAATATAAAAAGCAACAATAACTTTTAGAATGTGTAATTAACGAAAACTTGGCATTGCCGATAAGATGAATAAAAATTTGGCCAAATTTAGAATAAAACTGGTGCACAAGCAATATTTTGTACAAAATTTCTTAGTCCCAAAATTTCGCTGTATAACTAGTACAAATTTAGAAACTATCTCAAAAAATTAAAAAAATTTGATTGGTGTGTAATGTTACACCCGGACATTGAATTTTCTATATACACTGTGCACGCACCATAATAATAATAATATTTAATCGGGGAGAAATTAATTTAAAGTTAATGTATTAATATTAATATAGTTATGATGATCCTTTGGATTTTTGTTAGAAAATCAGAAAGAGGCAAATCAATATTAATTATTAATATCCAATGATTCGCATATGACCTTTGCATGCATGCATGAAAAACTGTCGTCTCACCGCATATATTTTTTTTTCGTGTGGTTTTTTCTGATTGGAAAAATTTTTTTACTTTGAGAGCGTAGAAATAATTGTTTCCGCAGCAAGCTCTTTCATTCATAAACGGATTATCAATCAATGACTATTCACAAGTGTTCTGTATTATTCTTCAACAACAAAGTCATATTATCTTCGCCACCTATCAAGATAGCTTTATCATAATAATAATAAATATAATAAATATTATTTATATTCATCGGCAAGAATACTATCAGCTAGATTTCATCTATTAAAGAGACCTTACAAAAGGTTTAGATACTTAAAATACACTCAAAACATACCTTATATATATACACCTAAAATACAACCAAAACACATTTAAAATATACCGGTGGAAAAAATAAGAATATTTAAGTGAATTTTAAGTACATTGTAAGTGTATGAAATTATACTTAAAAATAACTTTTCAACATACTTTTCAACATACTTAAAATATACTTGGTTTTTTCCCAGGTATGTTTCTAGTATGATGTTTCAAGTATTTTTAGAAAATTCATGTACATTTTAAGTATATTTCGAGAGCACTTCAGTATCTATGGTGCAAAACCAATTTATTACCAGACAAAGTTTTTGACAAAATATTCCTATTTGCGCACTATTATGAAATGAAATCAATCAACCAATGAATAAAACGAAACAATTAAGTTTGTGCCTGATCACACAAACTCAAAATAGATGGTACTACTAATATTAATCGACTCATCTCAAATTTCTTCGTCTAATATTAATTGACATGAGAAATTTAAATCAACCAATCAATAAATGAAATTTTGAACTAAATAATTCTTGGATATTACTTGCAGAACTATGCACTTTTGGGAAGCTATTTGACATTGTGACATGCTGGTAAAATTTTTTAGTAAAAATTAGCTGGATTTATATGGTTTTCAATACATTTATTTACAAATGGACAAACTTTTGTGTAGGGGATAATTCGATAAATACCCAATTTGTATATAATGCGTTTTAATGGCATCTTGATTTTCCATAATGGCAGTAAGTAGGCATGCAAGTTTCTTCAAACCGTTGTGACGTAAAGCAGAAATGATTAATGAATTTGCAAATTCTCACAACATGAAGGCATACCAAAAATATTATTTTCATGAATTTTTTGCTTTCTAATCTTGACATAATTACAATATGCTTTTAACTGATGAATAGTTGTGAACTTTTATATTACCTTTTATAAAAAATTGATTTATTCAAGCAAATTCATTGATGAATCTCTATTGTTGTGATTATTGCTACTACTAACATTACAATGCTATCTTTAAACAAACTCATTACACTTTAAGGCTTCTTCACAATTTGTACCTTTTTGTCAAAAGTTGTCAAATAGTGTTCCAACCAAATAAATATCACATCTTTTACTATATATATTCCATTTGATACGTCCCGAGTGCTCATAATTTGTTACAACCATTTCTTTTTATATGCCAAGATTAGTGTTTCCGTTCATTGACCCCCTTTTTAAATAAATAAAAATTATAATACATCTGTTGGCTTTCAGTAATGGATGAATTTCGAATAGTATAGATATTTCGAACAACCATAAAGAAAAGTCACAAATATCTGTTTGCTTTTTAATTCTAACTATAAATTTTTTAATAAATATTGGATATGCTAGTTTGAATCATCTAATTACAAAATATTTACTTTTACTTCTCATTTGGTTGAAGAATACCATGTACATGTAATAAATGAAATATACAATTGCTAGTCAATTTTTATTGCATAACCCATTTAGAAGTTCCTCCAAACAAATCTATCCTTTGATTGGTCTGACCTTTATTTATTTGAAGGAGTATCAGCCGAATTATCTTCACCATCATTGTACCGTTACTAGTTGCCATCCGTCAAGAAAGATTTTAAATTGAAGTTCATTAACAAACAAAATGTATAGAGTAAAAAGAGATATATTCGTGTGAATAATTGCAGGCAAGGTCTTAAATATTTCGAATTATTAATATTATTCGAAGTGAATATTCCAATATCACTTTTATTTTCGATCTGAACCTCTAGCCAAGATATTATTCCAACTAATGTCGTAGTGAGCCAATTTATACAGTGTAAATTAGAATTAACTTGCATGTAATACTGAAATAGATGAAACATATCTTTTGATTGAGAAAATTTTCAAAGCATTAAGTGCTGTCTACATAATTTATTATCATTTGTTGGTTTGTATGATGACAAATCGGTGTAAGAATTACTGCATAATAATAAAATTTTCCATCTAAGAGTAGATTCTTGTATTAATCCGAAACTGAACTTTATTCCCACCAAAACCCTTCTTATATGAACTTTAATTTCTATTTACATGGTATAGTCCATGTGGATAATTAGTTTCAAAATGCCAACAGTTTTGAAAGATTGTTAACAGTTTCAAAAGTGTTAATGTCATTGTATAATTTATTTTCATGTATTTTGACCAGACCGAATTTCAGATCAATATCAGGTTTCTTTAAAATTTGGGTCTGTTCGGAGCCTCACACTTGTATATGTTTATTTTCAAAGATTAATCAAACAAGAACATCATCTCATCAAATATTTTCCTTTACTAGAATTCAAGTAAATTAAAATAAATTAATTATTACAACAGTAATTATATCTTACACAATTGTAGGAAGTTAGCGCACAATATATTTGCTTATTCTACATTAAACCCGGAAGGATAGTCATCTCACCTATGGAAGATCAAAATCATCACAGTTCCAAATGTGTAACAAAAGTGAGAGAATTTCCCGAAGTTGAATTGAATCATAATTCTAGGTCTGTGATTAATGAAGAACCACCAGTATCATCTTTTTGGCGAAGAATATTACTACTATTAATAATGTTTAGTTCGTGCTATTGTAAACTTTCGAATAAACAATAATGAGGAGTTTCATCTTACATATATTGATTGCAATACAAACACGAAACTATTATGATGTTTAACATTACCTTTTAAGCTAAAAAAAGTTAAATATTTAATTTAATTGATACTAGTGCTATATTTTTAAGTAAACACTATCTCATTTGAATACTGTGCAACTTTTTAATGCAAAAATCCTATCTAGTCATTTATTCACATATCTTTGTATACAATCGCAAGGCCACATTCACATCTTTTCAATATTCATAAACTTATTATAAAAAGTACATTGAAGATACCTATAGTGCTTTAGGTTGTGCTCTCAACTAATTCATCAATTGTTTCATTACATTGTGTGGATCACATGCTTGAAATCAGTAATATGTCGTATTCTTTCATACAAAATTTATCATTATTATTAACATCACAAATTATTTTCAATTTTCAAACGATACTATGATGGATAATCCGCAGAAAATCGACCGATCCAATTAAACGCCTTACTGGTCCCACTTAAACTCTTTTTTTTATAGGGAAGATGGATACTCAATATGCCTTGGTAAAAAATTTCATTAAATGCAAACTGGCAACAACAAATCTGGAAAAATCAAAAATGAGATCCTGTGTGGCGAGCGGCTGCGGCCATCCAGCCCGTAACAAAAAACGTTACACGATTTAAAAAAATCGAGTTTTTCCAATTAATAAAATAATGGTATTTTTTTATATAATTTATTTTTTAAAAAATATTTAAAAAGACAGATAATTCGATTTAAAATTATATTTTTTTTTTTATTAGCATGGTCGTAGACGAGTAAAACCATCAGCAGAAATTGAAAGGATTAGAAGAGAAAAAGAAGCAAATAAAATCAAAGAATATAATGAATTAGTAAAGAAATGCTTTGATAAGGTTGATATTTTTTTTTCTTTGTAATTAAAAGAGATTATTAAATTAACAATTATTTTTATTTATTAATAGAGAGATAAATTAGAATATGATCAAGATGCAATAAATATAACAACTATGATCTTATCACAAAATCCAGATTTTTATAGCATTTGGAATTTTAGAAGAAAAATATTGTTAAAAGGAGTATTTGTTAGCTGGTAACTATAATTATAATTATAATTATAATTATAATTATAATGTTAATAGTAATTGTTTTGTTTTGGACAGTACAAATGAAGAAATACAAAAACATTTAGAATCAGAGTTAGGATTCTTACAAGAAATCTTTCAATTAAATCCAAAATCTTACTGGATATTTAATCATCGTAGATGGTGTCTTGAAACAATGTCAAATCCTAATTGGGAGAGAGAGTTGAAAATTGTTGGTCGAATTCTTGATATGGATTCAAGAAATTGTAAGTAATTAATTATAAAAGTGATAATAATAATATCATCTAATATTTAATATAATACATGTTTGAATAGTTCATGGATGGGATTATAGAAGATACGTCACATCAAAATTATCATCTACAGTTGATGATTCCAAGTCAATCATCGAATCAGAATTTGATTTTACCACAGTGAAAATAAATCAAAATTTTTCCAATTACTCAGCATGGCATCAGAGAAGCAAGCTTTTACCACTTTTGATTGAAGAAAGGAATTACAATTCAGAAGAAATCAAAACATTTATTGATAAAGGTAATAATTGATTAGTAATAATTAACATTATTATTGGTATATACATATATATATATTGATTAATTTATAAAAATAATTTGAAAAGAATTTGATCTGGTCAAGTCAGCATTTTATACAGATCCAGATGACCAAAGTGCTTGGTTATATTATTGGTGGTTGGTTGGCGGAGGTTAGGATCTTTATCATTGCAACTATTGTTATTATTTTTATTACAACTATGATTAATGCTGTTATATAAATTTTAGAAATTAAGACTACTTCAAGTTTTGATGGTTCAAAAGATCCAATTCAAAATGAATCATCATCGTCATCACCATCAACATCTTTAAAATTAATTACATTATCAAATTTAGAAAAAATTAAATTATTGGAGCGTGAAATATTATCAATAAGAGAATTATTAGAAATTGAACCAAATAGCAAATGCAAGTAAAATATTTAATAATAATGTTCAAGACCGTTATTTATAGACATTTGTAAATAAATATTTACATTTGTATTTTATTTTTAGGGTGTTTACAAACCTTAGCAAATTTTTTACGTGAATTAAAGTGTATTTCAAATATGAATTCAGAAGAATCACATAATAATGATACTGAAATAATAAATATATGTGATAAATTGATATCTATTGATAGTCTTAGAGAGAAAAGATTTCAAGATTTACGTATGTAATAATTTAATTATCATATAACTTAAAATTATTTTATTTGGGTATTAACTATCATTTGATTTATTCTAATTACTTAGGATCAAAAGTAAAATAAATACTACTACTGTAACCTTGCAGCAACACATCTATCAATACCTCTAGAATCTTTCCAAACTTCATACCATCTGAAACCATTTTTATTCAATTCATCAATAATTTTAGTAACCTGATGTTTTCCACCAATTTCCATCACAAGTTGAGGTAATAATAATTCACCATCACTATTATTATTATTATTATTATTATTATTATTATTATTATTATTATTATTATTATTATCATCATCATCATCATCATCATTATTATCATCACTATTTATCAATAATTTGCTAGCCAAATAAATTATTTTATTATGAAATTGAGTTCCTTGGTCATCTGCCACTAGAGCAATTTTATCTTCCCACAATTTTACATCCGGAATTAAATCCTCATATTCTTCATAAGTTATATATGGTGGATTGCTAACTATCAAATTAAATCCTAGTCCATTAAGACTTTTTTCTTTCACAAATCTTTTAATCTTTTCGTCTTCATCATTTAAAATATCTAATTTAGAAAAATCAACAAAATTTTTCAATTGTTGTTGTTGTCGAAGGTTTAAATTTGCGAGCTCCAACGCTTCAACTGACAAATCAATTCCATAAACTTTACATGTATTATCTGGTAAATTAGATGCCAATGCTAATGCAATACATCCTGATCCTGTACAAATATCAAGAATCTCTATTTGTTTTCCTTCTGCTCTATCCAAATAACCATTTCTATTAATATCGTTATTGTTCTTGATTCCTTTTTGATTTTTTGAGAATATTCTTGAATTTATTTTTGTTATTAGTCTGTTTGTCCATTCTTCTGTTTCCCATCTACTCTCGACATATTTATATATATATTAAAAAACTTTCTTTAAGTGCAAAAATAAGCAACTAAAAAAAAAAAATCCAACCTTGGAATTAAAACTGGTGGTTTTGTAATTATTTCTAAATCACAAAATGGTTGTGTGCCAAGAATATATTGTAATGGTTTATATTTTTCTACTCGATCATTAACCATCAATGCTATAGTTTGTTTTTCCTTTTCATCAAGTTGTTGAATATTATTGCAATTATAATAATTATTTTTTGTTTGATTTAACACATGTTGAGTAATCCATCGTAACTCTTGTTTTGCTTGACTTACATTATTGTCGCATACTTTTAATAATCGACGAATAAAATAAGATTGCATAATTAAAAAATTTACACACGTGATTGGGTGTTAAAAGATCATTCATTAAGCTTTTACATACAGGAATTCTAAAGAATATTTTGGGATCAAAATCTCCATATTGTTACCTATCATTATTCTCTCCATCTAGTTGTTTAAGACGTGGCATTATTCATAGAATTGATGGAGATTTTTAAATGACCAAGACTCCGGAAATAGAACAGCTACAGTTAAAATAAAAGATGTTAAGTTTATAGAAACTGTTTTTGATGTAATTACGAGTTTTTTTTTTAAAGCATATTGACCCAATAACAAAGTTACTATAGCACACAGTTTGGTATTTATTAGAGTTCCCATGCCGGGAACCAATGGCAACACGCTGGGCACTAGTGCTATTGCCCAAGTGCCCGTCTTTTTTTTATTTGGCACCGATGCTTCTACCCTGTGACATTGCCTGCCCGCTGGATATTTTTATGAGCTTATGACATTTTTAGTATACTTTTGCAAAATGGGGAGATAAATAGTTTAAATAGAACTCTGTTATATAATAAAATATTTATAAATTACAGGACACTTACAAATGAGACTTAAATTTCGCTACCTTTGTGTCCACCTATTCCACTTTCGTGTTTACATTCCACATTTGTGTTCGCATTTCACTATTGTGTTTGCTTTCTGATGGAATATTTGACAACAATATATTATGACGACTCTATTTCAAATAACTCACTAGAGAATAGTATCACAAAAAAGATAATAATCATATAGTACCAAAGAAACATTGGATAAATGTGTTGCAATAATAGTGATGGTGAATTATTATTACCTCAACTTGTGATGGAAATTGGTGGAAAACATCAGGTTACTAAAATTATTGATGAATTGAATAAAAATGGTTTCAGATGGTATGAAGTTTGGAAAGATTCTAGAGGTATTGATAGATGTGTTGCTGCAAGGTTACAGTAGTAGTATTTATTTTACTTTTGATCCTAAGTAATTAGAATAAATCAAATGATAGTTAATACCCAAATAAAATAATTTTAAGTTATATGATAATTAAATTATTACATACGTAAATCTTGAAATCTTTTCTCTCTAAGACTATCAATAGATATCAATTTATCACATATATTTATTATTTCAGTATCATTATTATGTGATTCTTCTGAATTCATATTTGAAATACACTTTAATTCACGTAAAAAATTTGCTAAGGTTTGTAAACACCCTAAAAATAAAATACAAATGTAAATATTTATTTACAAATGTCTATAAATAACGGTCTTGAACATTATTATTAAATATTTTACTTGCATTTGCTATTTGGTTCAATTTCTAATAATTCTCTTATTGATAATATTTCACGCTCCAATAATTTAATTTTTTCTAAATTTGATAATGTAATTAATTTTAAAGATGTTGACCCAATAACAAAGTTACTATAGCACACAGTTTGGTATTTATTAGAGTTCCCATGCCGGGAACCAATGGCAACACGCTGGGCACTAGTGCTATTGCCCAAGTGCCCGTCTTTTTTTTATTTGGCACCGATGCTTCTACCCTGTGACATTGCCTGCCCGCTGGATATTTTTATGAGCTTATGACATTTTTAGTATACTTTTGCAAAATGGGGAGATAAATAGTTTAAATAGAACTCTGTTATATAATAAAATATTTATAAATTACAGGACACTTACAAATGAGACTTAAATTTCGCTACCTTTGTGTCCACCTATTCCACTTTCGTGTTTACATTCCACATTTGTGTTCGCATTTCACTATTGTGTTTGCTTTCTGATGGAATATTTGACAACAATATATTATGACGACTCTATTTCAAATAACTCACTAGAGAATAGTATCACAAAAAAGATAATAATCATATAGTACCAAAGAAACATTGGATAAATGTGTTGCATGATAATCAAAATGTTTGGCAATGTCTGCATCGTTGAAAGAAACAATACTCGAACAATACTAGCAAAGCACATTTTAAAAAATATGTGCATTCATGGCTTAAAAGAAATTTAGAAAAAATCTAGTCCTAACGATCTGCCAGAAACAAAGTAGTATACTTTAATAAATCGTATTTCTTAACCGAAATAAAGTAATATTTCTTTGCTAGTTAAAATACTGTTTGTATAAACATGTAATAGGTTCTATGTCAGGCACCATTGTCACCGTGCCAGAGCCAATGCCCACCCAAGTACCCAGCTTTTTTTTATTAGGAACCGGTGCCCATGCCCAAAATTTTAAAACTATTGCTTAACATTGAAAGCAATTAAAATAACTTTTATACCAATAGGAACCTCTGTTTCAGCTTTCTTTTAATGTTTTTATTCAACTATTACTGAGAAACCAATAAAAATAAATTTCCGGTTTTTTTTGCAACACACTGAGCTAAAATCTGTAAATTTAGAAATCTCTTCTAATGAAGATTTTCTTCAATTAATTTTGACAAGTGAGATTTACCTAATAAAACAATTTACATAATTAATTACAGTTATTTATTACTATTATCAAGTATGCATGTACATTATCTGGATCTTCACCAACTTTAATTATTAATGTTGTGTCAGATGAATCTGAAATACCATATCTATTTAATGATTCATTTATTATTATTATTATAATAAATACACATGAAGAATTTATGCATTACATTATTTGTAGTTGGAGAAAGGTTATATACAATTTCTGAATGGACATTATGAATGAGTTTTTAATAATCCGAGATTTTCATCACTATTATTAATTGAAATTTATATTGGTTTCATAAACATATGACTCCATAACATATAAATAAATAAATACCACTTTAGTATTAACATAATTTAATTATGAATCATGAGATAATAATCTTTTTTGGAAATTCTGTTGAATTTTTGACATTATTAAATAATGAAATATGGATTAAGCTCCGGTTTGGATAAAG